GCCATGAACTGTTTGCAGGTTGGGGCTGTAAAAATAGCATGCGACTACATTGCGTTCAGTACTCCAAACTATCCTATCTTTATCTCTTGGGTGTCTCTGTTCTGGGCATGTAGCTTGGATCAACTTGGATGTGGTCTGCATAAGCTTTTGAGGTTTATGTGTGGATCAGAGCATCTGTGTTGCGTTGCTGCAGTGAGAGTTAGAATAGCACCGTGTGGGTGGTTTGGGATTACTGGCAGGGACAAAGAAAGTTGAAGAAGATGGTGTTGACGGCTGTGAAAAGCGTGAAGCAGCAACAGGGTCAAGACACTGTCGATTCCACGTTTGCTTCTAGATATGTACAGTGTGAGCTCCCAAAGTGAGTCTGTGGAGCGAGTTTCCTCTCCTCGCTAACAAGCTTTTGAAAGACGCGTGCCCTTCGTCATTGCCTGTTTTGACTTTTGCCTACGATTTCAAGTTGTGCTCAGTAGTATAAGGGCTGTTACTCAGATATCGTGCAGTAAGAATGATTGCAAAGATTGTGGGATGTGAATCGTCAGAGGAGAGAGCCGAACCTTCAAGAGCATCTTGGCTCAACTCTTTCACACAACAAAGAAAATTTTGGTTTGCGAGATTAAGCTGCCGCTGAGTTTCACATTGATTAGATAATGGTTATGTTTTGCATTCATGTATAACGATATATGATCTTATGTGACAGTGAGGAGGGAAGCCCGCTTGTTCCTGTATCTAGTGTGTTTTAAGGTCTTTCTATTTAGAGACCTGACATGTTATGGGTATTGACCCAATTTTCAACATTGTTTCTCTTGAAGGTTCACCATAAGCAGGAAACACCCAAGGATGCGACATATCAGATCATCAGCGACCAGCTCATGTTAGACGGCAACCCCCGTTTGAATTTGGCTTCGTTTGTGATGACATAGATGGCGCCCGAGAGCGACAAACTTATTATGAGCTCTCTCAATAAGAACTACATCGACATTGATGAATACTTCATCACTACTGAGCTTCAGATTAGAACCTCTCAGTCCGTTGACAAAAGCAATGTAGGCGTTTCGGCTGATGCTTGTGGAACACCTCAGACCACTGTTTACTGTGCATTGCACTAACCGAAAATTGTTAAAGTGGAAATTTCGTTAGCTTGCTCCCCCCCCCCTGTCTGTCTGTGTCATTTGACCGTTTCTGCTGAAGGTCGTTCTCGAGCAATAGAAGTGTGCTCTGAACTGAAAGGGAAGTGATTGTTCTCAGGAACGATGTGTGAATATGATAGCTCGAATGTTCAATGCCTCAATTGAAGAGGGAGAACAAGCTGTAGGAGTTGGTACAGTTGGCTAGGTAGAGGCCATCATGCTTGCCGGTCTTGCATTCAAGAGAAAATGGCAAATGAGAGATAAGCAGCTGGACTCCCATGGGATAAACCAAACATGGTCACCGGCGATAATGTGCAGGTAAAATTGTTGTGGATTGATGTCAACTACATGATCAGTCCTTGCTGGAGGAAGACAATAACTTTCAATCGCAAGTTCGGTACTTCTAATAATCCGAGTCTTGGTTTGCGGTAGGTGTGTTGAGAAAGGTTCACAAGATATTTCGAAGTGAAGCTCCGCGAGGTGAAGCTCAAGGAAGGCTACTACGTTATGGACCCGCTCTAAGCAGTCGAGCTCTGCGACGAGAACACGATTTGCGTGTGTGCAGTCCTTGTATGTTTTATGGAAAATATGTAGAATTTTACAGTCTTTTACAATTGAAAACCATTTATGTTTTCCAAGTAAAACTATATTTTTCCATGAATTATGGTCCATAGATTTATTTATTTATGGTGTACTTTTCATGATGATGTCAAGTAGGATCACATGTTTATACTTGTGGTGTACTACAATATTCAAGCTAAGACAGAGCGTGCTTCTTCGAGTGAGTGAGTGCGTTCGTGAGCCTGGGTGTGGTGGCTATGGTGTTTCGGCTTGCGTTGCGCCACCACCGTGACCGCGGCACTGCATTTCACTTCCTGCATACTTCGCCGCTGACTCCGCCGCCGCCTCCTTAGTCTGCCGTTGCGCGGATTCCGTTACCAGCGCTTGGATTACCCTCGATGGACGTGCATCCAAATGCTCCAAAACGCGCTTGATATCCGTCACCAGACGATCGGCCAAGGAGCGGCAGAAATCCTCTCGCACCACGAAGCGGAGCAGCGTGACAGGCTGCGCAACTGATGCCATGATGTGTGCAATCACTGAAACAATTCATGCTTATTACCTCCACTCGTTATTTGGATAATCATCTATACATTTTGAAAACCATTTAACACATGGTTCTCAATTATCTCAATAATATTCCATGGAAACTTCTACACCCAAACACAAGAATCCTAATTCTTAAAAATATATTTCATCAATAAAAATAAATGATTGTTCTGAGACTTCATACTTTAAGGAATTATACATGACATAGCTGAATTTCACATTTGTATTCATGCTAAAAAAATATTTTGGGTAAATTACAAACAACATATAAAATTTATTTTTTTCATTTGTAATTAATCAATAAATATAAAAACACAATATAAGTCCATGTTATATTGGGACAATTAGAGTGCATCTAGGTATTCTAAAATACTTTATAATCTCTAAATCTGTTATTATTTAGATACAAAGTTAATTTTTATTTTATCCTAAATTTTTGCTTATAAAAATGTTTACATTCCATGGAGGTACAATTGTTCTCTTGATAATTATTTTCCTAAAATATTATAACCCTCAATAATTAATCAGAATTTTGGGAATCAACTTTGTTTTATAGTGTATAATTACAAACCTCTTATCTAATAATTTATTAATTTTCATTGATTTTTATTAATTGACAAAGGTGAGTTCTCATACAATGCAGCTATCTAATGTTGCTTGTTGTTTTTGATATTTAATAAATAAATAAATATTTTTCATTGACCTTTGCTAATTAACAAATATATATACTTATTCAATCCAGCTATCTAATTTTGTTTGTTGTTGTTATTCTAATAAATAATAACCTCTATATATATATATATATATATATATATATATATATATATATATAATCAAAATATATCAAATATAATCGAAATATATTAAAAAGTGTACAAAAAAGTGTTCAAAATACTTCTTAAAACGAAAAATATTAGTATTATTAGATTCAAGTTTAGATAACCTATCACAAAAAATAAAGTCCATATTGCAGTTGAATAATAAATGGTACATTGATACTTTTTTCATATTTTTTTACTGATTTCAAATAATAGTAAAAATTAAAATTTCTCTCATTTTTTTTTATTTCAATATTACAACTCTCAACATTCGTCAATGCAAATCTAAACTATTTATCTATGGTAAAGCTTCTCATAATCAATATATCAAGCCATGTGTTTGTGCAACTGTTAATATGAAGCACTTCTACATATATCTTCAAAAGATACATCTGTTAAATGAATATATCTACCAATAATTTGGCCTTTATAATGTGTATACGATGACAAATATTATTATGTTAAAGGAGTTTGATGCATAACCAAAAATAATAGTAGCAAAAATATTCACTTATTCATTGTTCAATATATATTTAAATATAATAAATGGATACATTTGTATCTATCATGCCCTTGGAATTGACTAAGATTATAATGTTTGACCAACACTCACAAGTAGTCAAGCTAACAATAATGACATTTTGTGAAAATAAGATGCTAATTCATGATTTACACACATTGGCACCAAGGTTTGATTCAAACTGGAGAAAAAAGGATAAATAAGTAAATAAATAAAAGTATATACTTAAAGAACCAAAAGGTAATGTTAACATAAACAACAGCACTAACAACGTGTTACCGAATTTTGAGAATATAATTATTGATCCTTGGAGGGAGTCTAACTATATTCACTCATTTTGTTGGTAATCATATTCTAATTCACTTGTGAATTCTAAAATTAAATATTTCCAACAAATGGAGCATTCCCTACAAAAAGAAAGAAAAGAAAAAAGACAAAAAGAAGAAGGAAATAAGACAGAAAAGTGAATAGCAATCTACGATGGCAATCACAAAGGAACAAACCAAAAGGGGAGAGAGATAAAGAGCGAAAGAGAGAAAGATAAAGAGAGAAAGGAGAGCATTAGGGTGTAGGGAGGGGGCAGAGGGCATGCATGCATGCATGGCCATGGGCCATCAGCGAGGAACATGGGGGGGGGGGGGGACACTAAATAAATACGCGAGGGAGGGGCCATGCCCATGCCATGCCATTCCCGTCAGGATTTGAACGTCCTCCGAAACGTTGAGGGGGGGCACGGCACCTCAATCGGGACCTGGCGAAGGCTTCCCCGGCCCCCCGCCCTGGCTCCCTGGCTCCCTCGCTTCTCTGGCTGGCTGGCTGGATCCTGCGCTCCACCCTCTTGCCAGGCTTCCTCGCTCCTCTGGTTGTCTGTCAATGCCACTGCGAGTCTCCGAGTCTGCAAGTGCCAACGACGTACTGTAGGGTTTGTTTGGCGCAACCACAAGCTCCGTCCGGGGCCTACTTCCCCCCCCCCCCCCCCCTCCTCCCTTCCTCCGGATAGCCCGATCTATGCACCGGCTCCTCGCAGAAATCACCATGTCCCTCGTGAGGTGCGCCTAGTTTTCATGTCCCTTGGTTGCGGTTCGTGTCATTTTTCTCTTTCTTTCTGCTGTGGTTGGAGACTTGATGATTGGCAATTGGATTTGTTATTATTTTTATTATTATTAGTGTTATTTATTTTAATTGGTGCTAGTACTTTTTACGTTGAATTCCGCTAGTTTTATTTATTGCAATCCACTCTGGGAAGCCGCAAGGGCAGATGGATGGGTACTCAGGTTTATCTTCGTCTGTCACTTGCACGACAACTTGTGCGCGAAGGGCATGGTCGTCGTGGTAGAGTGGACGTAGTAGAGACGTCAACTACATTTAGTTTCGATGGTTTTATTTTTGTTTTTTTTGTTTTTTTTGTTTTGTTTTGTTTTGTTGTTTTTTTTTTTTTTTTTTTTTTCCTTCTGCTTCTTCTTCTTTTTCTCTTAGGTTTTAAGCTTGTGTATCGATGTCGTTGGGGTTTTCCCGTTCCTCAACACGCTTGACGTGCAACTGTCTCCGATTTATCCATTTTCCACGCACATGTTTTACAGCTTTCAATCCAGTTTTAATCTAGGAGTATAATTGATGTTTAATTTGGTTTCTGAACGTGAACGGGGTGAGGAATTGGCACCGGATTCTTAGGTCTCACATTTGCTTTCTCCTTTCAATTATCGGTCACTGATATCCTTAAATTTAAACTATACTTCACACAGGTTCACCAAATAGGTTTTAGGGTTTTTCAATGCTTCAGTTCGAACGCTGCTGAATCCTGTTAGTGCTTGATCGGTGGTTGACTCAAATAGTGCCAGTTAGGTTCGTTTGCTGCTTCGCCTTGTAAAACTACAGCAACCTAATTCTTAAGTTACTCGAATCTCTGGCCGCTAATGAAATAATGACCATCTCGTTTTTGGTTTGCAGGTGATGATTGATGTAGCCGATGTGGAAGGTGTGTGCCGATCAAGAACTGCTTTGTGTTGCTGCTTTTGGTAAGCCTATCTTGTTGTTCAAAGGATAGTAATGAAATCAGAGTAGACGTCGGATTGGTGGAGGGAATGTAGTTTGAAGTTAGTCAGTATGCATCGGGTCGGCAGCACTGGAAATACTGCCAATTCCACTCGTCCTCGCAAAGAGCGGCGTATTACCTATGTTCTTCGGGACTCCAATGACTCCAAGGTACTCGTTCTTTGATGAGGCTCATGCCAGATTCCTGCAAACTTGTACCCGAGGTTGATTGTGTGTTCAAACTTTGTTTTGAAATTTCACCTAGTCTTATGTTAGCTGTTTGGGTTGTGGCGGAATGTTGAGCGTTTACAATGAATGCCGACATGTTGGTTCAGTATCTTGCTACGTTTCTTAGAAAGACCTACCAGTCTATCCTTTGTGATTCTTGCTGCCGGTATACAACATGAATGTTACTTCATTTTGTATCCTTATTTTGATCAACGTTTTTTGGGCTGGCAGCATTGTTCAGGAATTAATTCTATAACTGGTCCTAACGGTTTGAAAGGCGACAATGGTGGTGAGCACTTGTTTAGTGCCAGTCGTGATGGAACCTTGAAGAGGTGGGAACTTGGAGGGAATGAAGCTGTATGTGGCGCTACGTTTGAATCTCACGTTGACTGGGTATTCATTCATGCCAGTGCGCTTCTTGAAATTAGAGGTTTCCTTAGGAAAAATGGTTAAGCAGATGGATCTACCTACATCATATGAAGTCGAAACTGGTGTAGGTAGTGAAAGGTAGTGAACAGCTCTAAAGTGAAACATTACTATTTCTCAACCGAAATGGGGTGTGATTTGACAGTAAATTTGCATATTGGAAACGCTTGTGTGTGATAACTGTTGGAAATTTTCTATCAGGGTTAGCTTATCATACTTTCCGAATTTTAATGCTAGGTTTCCTGTGCTTCTTTTTATGTTGAAATATGTGCAGAGAATAATATTTTTGATGTTTTTCTGCAGGTCAATGATGTGGTTGTTACTGGTGATGATACTCTTGTGTCCTGCTCCTCGGACACCACGCTGAAGGTTTACCTTCTTGGATTTATAAGATTATTCTTGCTGTTGTAGTCTTCTTGCATTCTTTTTAACATAGTCTTTTTCACCGTCTTTAGAATCAGTCTGATCAGATTTATGTGTTCAGGTTGGAAATCAGTCCATGCAAAAGTGAGGATATGGTGAAAGTCACCAAGTTTCTGTGGTTGTGTCCTAAGGGCTATCTGTTGACTCTTGGGGTTATGCTTGGAAATAGACGTGGAAGCCGTTTTCGGATGGCGAATGTACTCGGACCTTTCGGCAGCATTCTGATTATGTCACTTCACTTGCTGCTGCCCGTCATGTAAGTTCGTGGAAAGATCTCACATGCAATTTTTAGTCAAGGACGGCTTTGCCCATGTGCACTCTTTTTTCCTTTTCTTTCGTGTAGTGAAATACAGAATTCTAGGTATTTACCAGATTCGTTTTTCATTGAGTCTACTTTCACTGTCGGTTGCGTATGTGCAGAGCAATATAGTGGCTTCTGGTGGATTGGGTCGAGAGGTTTTCATATGGGATTTAGAAGCGGCCATGGTGCCAGTTGCTAAAGCACATAATGATGCCAACGAGGATGGAACTTATGAAGGTGGATATGCCTTATGTAATGTTTCGCTCGAATACAATTACGTATAAGATGCTTGCGTATGAATGCTCTTTGGTTCAAGTGGTTCTATAGTCTAGCGTGTCTCTGAAGTCATTATTTTCCAGGTGATCGTGCAATTACTTCAAATAATCTTGTCACAGCTGCTCCTGCACAAAATCTTTCACAAGGATATGCTCCTCTACCTGCGAAAGGCCACAAAGAGTCCGTTTACGCTCTTGCCATGAATGATACGGGGTCCATTTTGGTCTCAGGTGGTACAGAAAAGGTCAGTTGCACTTTTTACTTATTTCATCTTGAAGGTGCTCATTTCTAACTTGCACGTTTGGAACTTGTGATAAATGATTCATAAGGTTCACTTGAGTTTTACCTGTTATTTTTTTAGGTGCTAATTGTTCCCATGTTTGATAATGTTGGTGTTCTTGACGTCGGTCTGCTTTTCTTTATCAAGCTAATTTGGTCTGAGTCTCTGTAGGCGGTCCGAGTGTGGGATCCAAGAACTGGATCTAAGCAAATGAAATTAAAAGGTCACACTGACAATGTTCGGGCTCTCCTTCTAGACCCTACTGGCAGGTGGGTATATTGAATTTGATTTTATTCTGTGCATTGTCATCCCATTTTCTGTGCTTTATTTTCCAGTGAAAATCTCTTATGTCAAATCTGTTTGAGACGCTCAACCCTCGTTGCTTTTGATTATATACAGACTTTGCTTGTCAGGGTCGTCAGACTCTATGATAAGGTTAGTTTCACTATCATCTGGTCAAGCGTGTAAGTTATTGCTCATTTTAGGGCTTTTATGTTCACTGTACCTTCAGCGATTTGGTATTGAAAGCCAATTATTAACATAAATGCTCTCTAAGGATTCAAGTTTTTGATGACTTGTAGTTAGTGATGGGGATTGATTGTACACTATACTGGAAGCTCTTTTCAGCGTCATATTTCTGTCGGTCGAAGAAGTTGCTTTTTTGGTTAAGCCGTGTAATACAAGTTGAGAAAATGAAAAGAGGTTGGTTTATTGAACATGTCAATCTATCCTTCTTGAGAAGTTAATGTATTAACCTGCCGTTGCCAAATTTGACTTTTTATCTGATAATTTTGTACGGTATTAATGGCTTTTGACTAACGAGGAAACTCACGTTCAGGCTCTGGGATCTAGGACAACAACGTTGCATTCATTCCTACGCGGTTCACACGGATTCTGTTTGGGCTTTTGCAAGCACGCCATCATTCAGTCATGTGTATAGCGGCGGTCGTGACTCCTCAGTAAGTTTTTGCAAAGGACCTCCTACAGGATAGGGCAGTTGGCCATTATGTTCATATAAACTAGCAAGTTCTGGTGGGCTTATACGTTGTTTTAAATTTTCTTTTGTATTCTTTAACCATTGTCACTTGATTCTTGATTCTATCTTCGTTGAATCAGGTATATCTCACGGACTTGTCCACGAGAGAAAGTATTTTACTCTGTAAAGAGGAACATCCTGTCTTAAGGTTGGCCCTGCAAGGTGATCAATGGCTTTGGGCGGCAACTACCGATTCCTCTCTTCATAAATGGCCCGCCCGTGAGCGGGCTACTAGCAAAACTTTACAAAGAGCCAGCTCATTCGTTGCTGGATCACTTCCATTTGCCCGTGCCCGAGCAAATATAGATGGATCAGCTCCTGTACGTCATTTTGGACTTTTTTAAGCCTTCGTTCTACGTACTTCTTTATTATTTTAAGATTTTCTTATAAGAGCCTCCTATATTTTTAGTGTTTTATTGTCTGAATTGACTCGTTAATACGTTTTTTGCAATCACAGGTTCCCTTGTACAGTCAGCCTACTTCAGTTATTCCTGGTACTGCTGGCATTGTTCAGCATGCCATTTTGAATGACCGACGTCACGTCCTCACCAAGGTTTTCCGTGCTTTCTGTACCAGGATAACACATGTGTTTCAATAGCTAATTCATTATCTGGCTACTACTAACGTGGCTTGAACCTCAATTGGTCGGTTTTGAAGCTATTTTTATACATGTAATTTTATACATGTAATTAGTGCTGTAGCTTTTTACTGAGTTACGTGCAATTTCGACATGTTGGCATGTCTTCAGGACACGGCAGGCATTGTGAAGCGTTGGGAAATTACGCGTGGAGCTGTGATTGAGGATTATGGAAAGGTAGAATTCTGGTTTTATTTGTGCTATATGCTGTGATTGAATCTGCAACTTGTGCAATAACATTATACGTCATTTAGGCTTTCATATGCTTTTGCTGGTGTGTTATTGTAGACTGCCGAAGGTATCATGATGCCGTTTTTCTTAATCTTATGAATCAAAAGTGATTTAGTTTCCTATTGCAGGTGAACTTCGAAGAGAAAGAAAAGGCCCTTTTTGAAAAGGTAGGCTCACTTGTCTCTTCTTTTCTCAGAATTTATTTTTGTGAAGTTGATGACTGAAGGTCTTGTCTTTATTGGCTAAGTAACTATGTCAGCGATTCTTTATGAGACACAGTATTAGCAACTTGGGTTCTATAGAAATGGAAGGTGAGAAATATACGTTTCTTGCATCGTGCAGCGCGCCAAAATCGTTCTAGATTTGACGTTTAAGAGTCCTTTTTTCTACGTTTTGTATTGGTGACAATTTTACACTTGACATTAATCGTATAATTGTTGATTAGATTCAATTTTTTACTATATGGAACTTATGATGGATAAGACTGGTTGTGGCATAGGTGAGTGTGCCAGCATGGTTCACAATGGATACAAGGTTAGGAAGCATGTCTGTGCATCTCGACACGCCTCAGTGTTTCTCAGCAGAAATGTATGCTGTTGATTTACACGTCCCTGGTGCTTCAGACGAATTGAAGGTAAGCTAGCTTGTATGTGCTGGATGCGATTCGTGTTGTACCGTGTTCATTTGTCTGTTGACAATTACATTTTATTTTGCTATTTTCTGTTTTATTCGCTTTTGTTGTTGCTAGACTTTCCTGGTCAATACCGATTTAAGTTCTTAGAGGTACTAGACAGAGTGTTTTTGTGATGTCTTCTAGCCAATCATTTTTATGATTTTAAATACGTTGACTTCCCGTGACCAGAGGTTACGTAATATGAAAACTATTATGAGGTCTTTGATTGCTGTTGTAGAGGTCTTTTGTTTTGGGAGTATTACTTTTCTTTCGTCCTTTTGTCCCTCGTTTGTCATGACTCGATTATTTTTATTCTCTGGCATCATCTCCTTTTTCTTTAAATTCTAGGTCAAACGTAATGAGTTCTAATACTTACTATTTTCCATGGTCTATGAGATTGCAGTTGAACATTGGTCAAGAAACACTTCGTGGACTTCTTGCACACTGGCTAACTCACAGGCTAGTGAAGCCAGTTGCACCTAGCACCCCGAAGGGTGATGTTAGTCCTGGTTTGAGTTCTGGAGTTGGGGAACTTGGTTCGAATCGGCGGACAACCTTGGATGATAGCCAACATGAGCCGAACAGCCAGCAGACACGTGTGTTACCTTCGTTTGAGTTCTCAACCCAGTCGCCTCCATCCATTATTACTGAAGGCTCTCAGGTATTGTAATTTACATACAAGAAAGAAAATTAGTTCTGAACTCTCTTATTTGCTCATGCAACACCTAGTGCATCAGACGTTCAATAAATAAAGGTGTCCTTTTCGATCGCTTTCGCCTTGCTCTTACTTTCTCGTCTCTTGTAGGGTGGGCCATGGAGGAAAAAAGCAACAGAACTTAATGGAACAGAGGACGAGAAAGAGCTGCCATCGTGGTGTATCGATTGTGTTCTTCATGGACGTATCTCACAGCGCGAAAATGCAAAGTAAGTCCAACGGTGGAGAACTCAAATGTTAAATATGATGAATGATTCTTCGAAATGTAGGACTATTGAAGGCTGGTTTTTGAAAATCGAGGTCTCAGTAACTTCAGATTATGTGGTGCTCTCAACATATACCTTGTGTTGTGTGTGTAGTTGTGTCCACCAACGGTTTGCTTTGAACAATACATAAGTTGATTTTTCCGTCACATCATGAGTATGATGTCCGTCTTCCGTATGTTAGTAGTTTTTGGCACTAATTTTTTTGTGCTTGTTTGTTAGGTGTAGCTTTTATCTTCATCCATACGAAGGTCAAACAATAACTGTTCTTACTCAAGGCAAATTGAGTGCACCACGGATTCTTCGGATACTCAAAGTGAGCTCTGATCCTTTCATATATGTTGGTGTCTGACAATTGTCTCTATGTTTTGATTGAGTCATTCCAATGTTGTATAGATATTGGTCTTGTGTGTACTCGTCGTACGTGCTTGCACTCAGGTCGTGGTGGGAATTGGATCAACATGCATATTCGCTGCATGAAAAGTGAAACCAGCACAAAGTTGAATTACTGGACTTAACACTGTACTTCCTAAATTGGTCATTGTTAAAATTAGTCGAAATAGACATCTAATAATTAGCGAGGAAATTATTCTGCACATTGCAAAATATATCAGTCTTCGTTCTAAATGGTTTGCTTAACAAGGAGTTTCATATACGGGCTTGTCATGTTTGATACGTATTTAAGTTTATAAGCGTTGCTGGACTTAGCTTTTAGATTCTTTTAGTTGCCTTGTTGAAGTTTACCTAATTTTAGGTTTCTCATTTGCTGTTTATGACACTGGCTAAGTGCGATTTTTATATGAACTTATACTGTTTTGGAGACTAACCCTGGAGCGTTCATTTGACAGGTAAAGAACTATGTATTAGAAAAGTTATTACTGGAGAGACCCCTTGAAGAAAACGGGTCAGATGCGAATGCCCCAGCGGGTCAACAAGCCGGCGGAAATGCCAATGGAAAAGGAAATAATGTGTTTAGGCCTGGTTCAAAGAGTTGGCCACAGGGCACGAAGCCTGTCGTGGAAATTTTGTGTAATGATCAGGTTAGTAGGTGTAACTATGACAATTTCATTTGAAGATAGTTCTGACAAGTGTGGCTTCCAGTAGTGGCGATGGTAATAGTTGTTGAGAAGTAACGCCGAGAAGTATTACTGGCGGTCTAAAATGCACTGGCTGAAAGTGAAGCCAGTTTAATAACTCTTGTTCTTTTCGCACTGAAACTGATGATTACTGTGGTTCGATCTTTGCAGGTTCTGCCACCTGATATGAGTTTAGCGACTGTGAGAGCTTATGTTTGGAAGAAACCAGAGGACTTGTATCTTCACTATCGCACAGTGCCCAGCCTTTAATTTATTTATTTTTTGTAAAGTTAATGAATATTTTTAGATGCTCATATTGTGCACGCTTCAGATTTGCTTATCCTGGGCATCAACAGGTTATGACTAGCAGGTTACTAACGATGTGCGCACGATGTTTCTATTTCGACTTGTACAACTGTTGGAAAGCTGTTAATGGATGCCAGTGGATACCAAATCTGGTGGCTTTAGATTTTGAGGGAATGGCCGCTTCATGTAAATAGTCATGATTTTCACCTGGAAAGATGAGTTTCAAACGCACTATTGTCTATCCATTCTTCGTTTTGGTCCCTTCATTCGTAGTATATGCGGTGCCATGATCTCTTGAATAATATTTCTTCAAGGTATGTCTCAATTTATAACCTAAATCTCTTCTGGCTGTGTTTTTTTAATAAAAAACAATTTTCTTACATCTGTCTCATACATTCTGGTTCAATATTAAATCCATACCCAAATGTATGCATATATTAGCAGAGCGAGAATGTGTGGGGCAGATGGTCTGCATCGGTACCAAATGTTCCACATTGAAGGTCTGTAATGAATCTCGACACAAAATTCCTTGACCTACTAAATTACTATATGATCAACAACTAACAACGACTCGTATCTGTCATTGGTTTAGTGAATCCCACAGTTTTGTTCAAGGATTAACATAATTATTTGTCATCGGTCTAGTGAATCCTCCGATTATTATTATCTCGTTTGACTCCAGATTCGCAGGTTGTGTACCTGATTCCCAAGGGGATCAATTACCTCCAGTTCTGCAAGCCATGCTATCTTCCCCCGAAGCAGGTGCATTTTTGTTTGGCAAAATCTTTCCATCGACTCCACCTTGTACACTTTCAATTTCAACAGCAAAGTGGACCCTCTAAGCACATGAGTACACGAAACATTGGCGTCTCGAGTCTCATTCTTTTTGGTTCAGTCTGCCAACTTGTGCTGCGAGCATCTACACAGAGTGCACTTAAAGGCGGTGATAAAGGCAGAATAGGCATAATTGGGTGCATGAATATCATTGGTTATCAGAGGGGTCGTGGAGTCTAGTGGTCATTGTTCTGCTCATAAAGCCACTGTTGGTTGTGTATGTAGCCACGTTTTCCTGACGCGTAACTTAAGGTCGGAGATCAGAAGGAGCGTGCTGACATAGTCAGCATTGGAGAGTTGTCTGAAGGTGCATTCCAGTGATGCCTGTAAAACCATGCCACATGACACCATTTATTGGGGCAGGACCAGAATATTATAGATGGCCATAAATGGTGCCCTTTGGTTCCCTGGTCACATTCACATGCATTTAGTCTGGTGTGGTTTCTCGTCTTGTCAGTTGGATACTAAACAACACTTTCCAAGGCTTAACAGTTTAAGGGTTTAGTGGTTGCAAACCCTGTGCAGGGTACAAAGTCCCATTTACCAAGGCAAATCAAATAATAATAATAACAAAAACAAAATGAATCACACAGGAAGAAGAATCATACGGTTTTCTTTTAATTTTGCGTACAGCTTACATCTTGTAATTAGAAAATTGTGGAAAACATTTAAAGCATTAAACTAAACAAATGGAATGATGGGTTATTAGCAAATTAGCGTATTGGGGTCTCGCAATGTCACAATCCACTTCAGATAAGATTTTCAGATAACGTGTTAGTGGTTGTTTCTTGTGTTGTGATAAACGTGAGTAATGATCTCTCTGAAGGGAAATGGATTCTTTTTTTTGAAAAAATTGAATTTTAATGTTTGGAATTGATGCTACAGTTTGTGCACTTAAAGCATTGCAGAGTTAAATTTTGATTCGGAAACTGAACTTTTACTGTATCGTTCAGAAACTGCTTTGGAATTATAAAAGAATTTTTGATATGGTTCCAATATTGAACACGTATCTGCCATTGAAATTGATCCACTATTCTTTTAAGACCCTATAAAATCTAATTAAGATATTGAATTACGGAAGTAGTAATAGCAATTTGACAATTTTGGAAGTGGAATTGGGAATAAAAGCAAGACTCATGTCATTTAAAAATAAAAATAAAAATAAAAAATTAGAAATTTTCTATATCAAAAATTATAAGTCAAGTGGTATATCAGCAAATTTAAAATGATATATATATATATATATATATATATATATATATATATGATTTAATGAAATTAATCTTTGTATGTATAACTTGAATTTTGGCTCAAGCTTTTTTTTTTAATCTTTTATCTTTTAAAACATGAAACTCTAAAATAGCCAATCAAAATCAACATACCTCTTTTTTTAAAATATGCCAATGATAATAATGACCTATTAATTTATGTTGTACACATTAATTTGAAAAGAAAAAGAAAAAGCTTTCACTTATTGTATTTTAAATATTATAAGGTTAACTCTTTCAAAAATATGATAGAAAAAAATTCTAGTTTCAGTCACCATATAACATTGATCAAACATGTTTTTATTTTAAGCATTTCAAATCAAGTTTATGTAATCTTTGTTCACCATGTTTATTTTAAATCTCTTTTTTTTTTTTTTTTTTTTTTTCCATATTTGAAACCAATAAAATTTATGCTTCATATTAAAAGAAAAAAGATCATCCTTTTTGTGTGATTAAATTTATATTCAAATATGGGCAATCAGTATCAATTAATAGGCCATGGCAATATTGTGTCTTCCATAAAATAATTCTTATCCTTTTGGTTTTTTTAAAAAAAAATTATAATAATGATAAAATAATTACTATGTCTCTAAATATTTTTGAATTTCAGACATCACAAAAAAATTATTGCATTACTATCTCTCTCAAATGAAAAAACCGTCTTATTAAATTTGTTCAAAATATTGTGTAATACTTATTCTACTCTTCAATAATTTAATAAATTTATATAATGATATTTATACTCATACATCAAAAAAATTAAATTATGAAAAATTTATCAATAAAGTATTATCTATCAAATTTGATTAAGGAGTTACTTAAGTATCAAATAAAGATTATAAGTACAACTATTACCAAATAAGATTGTTTATCTGCACTAAAAAGTGTGTACATAGATTGTGTTACCTTAAAATATTTGTTTGTATATATATATATATATATATATATATATATAATTTAATATTATTTTATGAATTATTATATTTCTAAATTAATCAAGAGTAATGAGTAAATATTACTAATTATTACATAAAATATTTTCAAATAGTTATTACATTTTAATAGATATAAATGTTTTTAACAAAATCCATCTTTTTTACAAAAAATCTAATGGCATGTATATAGATATTAATGATTGTGATATTAAAACTTTAAGAGATTTTTTTCTATAATTAAATATTTAAAGTCTAAAATTTGAAGTAATAATACTATATTTTATTTTATTATCTTATATTTAACTTTGCACAAGAAGAAGAATATATACAAATTTTTGAGTTATTTTAATATTAAGTCTTATCCATTTGTGACTCTTGACAAGAAATTAATACAAAATTTATTTAAAAATCAATTCTATTTACAAATAGATCATTTTATAGTTGATACATTCTATTATTAAAAATACTATTTTTTTTATAAATTATAAATGTATATATATATATATATATATATATATATATTTATATATATATTAGAAAAAATACTTTGAATTTAAAAACATTCTCATTTACACTATTTCCATTCTTTGTAAAATAAATAATTAATAGAATAGAATAGAATAAAAATATATTTTATAAAGATTAGTAAGTCTTATGTAAGATAATTTATTTAAAGTAATCTTTATTGTCTTAAAATCATTGTCTTTCTAATGTAAGAAAATACATACATAAATAAATCATATTAGATTTTATGTTATGATTTAGTAAAAAGTTAATAAAATATATATATTTTTAATATTTTTTTATTAAGAGACTCTTTAAGCATTATTTTGAAAACAATAAAATATAGGAGTTCTTAATCAAGTTTTTTTTACTTTTAAAAAAATTAGTTTTTTAATACAATAATGAATATATATATATATATATATATATATATATATATATACACACATAGATAACTAATTTATATCTACATTATAAAAATAAATTTATTCATAATTTTAATATAAAATTAGAAATTAATTTATTTTTATTTTTATTTAAATATCTCAATTATATCAATTATTTCTTATTTTTAGAAAGAATTAAAAAAATAATTAAAATATTAAATACCATCTCTCAAAATTTTCCTTTTTAAGTTAATTTTTTAAAAATGTAATATATTCATGAATAAGAAATATGCTTATTTTGTTTTCATTCTAATATTCAACATATAAAATCCTCTTCAAAGACCTGTGACCAACCCATAGATTATTTATGGCTCAAAATATGAAGTCATTCAATATATTGTATTTTAAAACAGCTTTAATGTATTATAAAATTGTTAAGTATTATATTCTCAGTTTTATTCAGTCACTATTTTTATGAAAGCAATAATGATCTTGTTTTTTAATCAATACATCAATGAAAATTTAGAAACCAAAAGAGTATTTTGAAAAGACTTTTACATCATTTTAGAATTTCAGATTGTTGAATCTTTTATTAAAAATAATAAAAATTGAATAATTGATTTTTTTACATATGTATATATTTAAAAATCTATAAATTTAAAATCCTATTTTTTATGTTTTATCAACAGTTTTAGTATTTTGGACATTAACTTTCAATGATTGGTTGTAAAGTAAATATATGTCTATATATATATATATATATATATATTCCAAGAACTTTCAGCAGATATCCACCTAAAAAAAAAAACTAAAAAAACATTCTGTTAGGAATTTCCTCCAAAATGTAAATGAAAAAGTGAATAAGTTCTTGACCCAAATCCTACTTATCAAACAAACAACTTAGAAACACCGAAATGTACGAAGTTTTTATAGCTTTGAATTCGAGTGCTCCATGTGTGCATAAATATTGGCAGTCTTAAAGTCTAAGACTGATACACAACCCACTACAATATGTCTATTGCATACAGATCAACAATTTATGCCTTCCATCCATCTCCGTCAAAGGCTGTACAGTATTGAATGGATGGGACACTTTGTTGAACCTTTACTACTGCAAGCATCAACTCACATTCATCTCCTCAGAAACATAAAGAGTAAATAAAAAAATCTACCATAATTATTCCAACAATAATTTATCGGGAGTATAAATTAAATGGTAAAATTCTGCCACATCAGCATGTAAACCAACAAACGCTGGTTGATTTCTGAGAAGAAGTACATCGTGGACTTCACAGTTGCTTCAATAGGAAAGAAAATAGACCTAAAAAAACAACATGAACACATCAATCTCGTTTCACTTAGCATCATCTGAAAGACAGCTGTCATACACAAAATGTGTCAGTGGAGAGGCAGAAAAAACAACTTTTGTAAACAGACTAAAGAAATGTACAATAGCCACGTGTGGAGGTCATCAGAGCTTGAAGCCACAACTCAGAGGATTGGGCCAGCAGACACAAAATCTGAGAATGCATGGGTTTCAGTGTCGATAATGCCAGTTCATTGCAACACCCACTAGTAGAAGAAGAAGAAGAAAAAAAGGGAAAAAGAAAAGAGAATACAACTTCGGAGCTGAGATAGATGGCTGGACCGACACCGAAGCGATGCCAGTAACAAGAACTTTTTGCACTCCAGAAGCCTGCTGCAGGAGTAGTAGTAGTACTGAGTCAGCGATGGACATATTCCGGTGAGGTGGACAAAGGCAATCAGGATTAGATCCCCTTAACACTGTCCTCAATGCGTGGCCTGTGGTGAACACACACTCCTGTCCTCCGATCCCCATAAGAATTTTTTTTACAATGAGTGACTAGACAATCATGAAGTGGCAAGGACACTGGCTTCAGCAACTAATGCCTTCTACCAAACTCTGAGACACAACTCGTTAATGATGCCTCAGTACTGAAGCTTCTCCTGGGGTGAGAAAGTGCAAGACAGAGCTAGAAAGTGAAAGAGAAACAGGAAGAGAACAAGCGGGGCTGTGGAAGCTGAGGAGGAACCCAGCAAACTGCAGGAGCCCAATCCAAATTGCGCATGGTGTGCAACCACCACCCCCACTGACTGCTGCAAAGCTTGACACGGTACACGCCACGGATGCCCACCAGCATTAATATCGCTTGGTGGACATCGCGCGTCAGCGTTGCGTTGAAGCCATTGCTGTGGAAATATGTTCCCATCAGCATGAGGTGTCGGGTTTCGAGAGCAGTGCGCGTATAGCGTCGCATATCCTGAGCTTGTTGTGAGTTTATCATACAGACGAGTTGGTGTTTCGAAGTGTGGACTCTTGGGTTTTGTACTGAACTGGGCACACAGCAGCAGGAGGAGGTCCCGCGAGCCATGTGATGGTGAGGAAGAGCCTAGGACAGTCCCCATAGCTAACGGACGGCTGAATCCGAAGCTTCTGTTAGGATAGATAGAAAGGTGGTTTGTGAGAGTGATTCATTGTCCTTCCTGTTGTTTGTGGAGTCTTGCAACCAGTGTTTGGCTGGTAGTGGAGCGGCGCCGGACGCGCCACTCGGTGATACACCTCAACTGCAGCTCGTCATAAGGTTGGTGAACCAGTTTGATTGACATCTTTGGAGGTATTGATGCTTGCAAGTTGCAGCAAAAAAGATGTGGAGGTGAAGTACGAGACATTGCATCTGCGAGATTTCATGAGCTTTTCTTGCTGCCGCTGTTCCCAGCTTCTACTTTTCCCACCACCATCATCGCGTAGTAATTTTTATGTGTGGCTGCACTCGACATGATCGGACAACAACCGGTCACAGCTGGTGCTAGTATTGCCATCACCTCTCCAGAGTACACTCGAAGTGTTTGCTGCTTCAGCGGTACTCTAAAATGAGCGGATTTGTTAGTGAAATATCTAGATGATACGAGTATTTGTTGTAGCAATCTTTTGTCGTTCTCGACAGAGTATTTGCTCTCTCATGGCTGTAGTTTGGGATAACAAGGTCAAGAAATAACATTGCTCTTGTCTGTCTCCATTGCAGAGCAGTGAAGTGGAGGCATTACTGCTCAACGTTTGTGAACTGGAAGGGTGACTCTGTACCCTACTGTTATGAGTAATCTCGACGAAGGCTAATGTGAAGCTGTCTGGGGGAATCGGAAGATTAAAGGTCTGTCGCTCTTTGCAAGGTGTGCCGGCCTACAGCATTCTACGCAGTGTTGTTGCGAACCCACCTGTACCTAAGCGATTTCTTTTCTATGAACGAATGATTTAGTTTAGCGCCTCAAACGAGGGAATTTACAGGGCAGCCAATGTCTTTACTTGTTGATACTTCGAGCCTGTTGCGGAACTTGATATGCAATCGCAATGCAATGACCAGCTAGATGAGTTTCAAGCTCCAACTCAGCAGACGACACTAGGCTTGCAGGTATTCCCCAAAGTTCATGATCCTTACTAGCGACATTACTATGTCTGAAACTGGACACAGCGTTATATAACATCGGCATTACAACTCGTGAATTAAAGATTTGATCTTTCTGGAAGTTGGCGGCCTCACTGTCGGATTTGTTTAATCTGCGGCAGCCATGGCAGAAGAAATTAGCTGGGCCGCACCTCGCAGCGGGGCAGCCACTTCTGTGGTTCTTGCGGTGACGACGTTGCTGTGGATAATTGTTTTTCGATGGCGGCAGCGGCATCGATTAGGGCCAAAGGAGTGGCCGATCCTCGGATCCGCACTGGAGATAACTAGCCATTTTGGAGATATGCACGATTGGCTCCTCTCGTACTTCGAAAAAGGACTCAAAACGTTTCGCGTTGTAATACCAGGAGTCGTGTACACCTACACTGTTGATCAAGCAAATGTTGAGTACATTCTTAAGACCAACTTCGCAAATTTCCCCAAGGTTAACACCCTCTTTGAAGTGAAATCATCCGGTGTTTTGGCTATACTTCACCGTAGAATAGGCTGCGCTTTGTCCATACTTAGGTCTCAGAAGTGCATCGTCGATTCTGTGCAGGGAGAGTTATACCACAGACACATGGAGACTCTGCTCGGCAGTGGAATCTTCAACGTAGATGGGGAAGAGTGGCGCCAGCAAAGGAAGACGGCGAGCTTCGAGTTTGCGTCTCGAATTCTCCGCGATTACAGCACAGTGGTGTTCCGCAACAACGCTGTCAAGCTCGCTGAAATCATTGCAAGAATGTCCCAAACCCAGGAACCCATCGAAATGCAGGTCTGTTTGAGTCTCCCCCATTGATTCACACTAGTCCCGAGCTTTGACCCTATTCCTGTTAAGTATTGGCTGAATTCGATACAAGAGATTCATTTGCATAACACGTGTTCAACAGTCAGAGTGTTGAGAGCTATCTAATCTTGCACAGCGTTTTTCAACATTGTGCAATGTTTTGAGACACTGGAATGGGCAATGTCGGTGTGATGGTCGGCTCTCCATGTTTATGCAGCCGCTATGCTGTGCAGGACCTGTTCATGCGGCTCACACTAGATGGGATCTGCACGGTGGGATTCGGCGTTGAGATTGGCACGTTATCACCGTCTTTACCAGCAGTGCCGTTTGCAACCAACTTCGACAATGCTAATGAAGCAGTGACGTACAGGTTTTTCGACCCCATATGGCCACTCAAGCAGCGTTTGAACATTGGCAACGAGGCCGTGTTGGCCCGCAGTGTAAAAGTGGTGGACGATTTCACTTACAAAGTCATTCAAACTCGTCGTACAGAGCTGCAATACATCAGCTCGCAGGGTAAAGAGATGGTAGGGACCTGGGAGACAAAGCCAGTCTCATATTACAACTGAATATGAAAACCTCCAGATAACCATATGATCGACATATAATATTCCACTTGCCTGTGCAGAAAGCAGATCTGTTGTCCCGTTTCATTCTAATGGGAGAGAACTCCGAGGAAAGCTTAACTGACAAAATGTTGCGTGATGTGATACTCAATTTCATCATCGCTGGTGACTGCCTTTTCCTTGCGATTCGGTCTAATCTTGTACAGTCAGACTGTTGAGAGCTATCTAATCTTGCACAGCAGGGATTCGGTCTCAGGATCATGTCGTTTTCATTTATTTCATGATGAATTGACAAACTTGTTCTCCGGTAACATATTCAATCCTGCTTAAAGTTGCAAGCGTTACATTGTTGGACAGGTTGGAATAAAGCTGTGTTTGGAATTTGCACAGGAAGGGATACTACAGCGGTAACTTTATCATGGTTCGTCTACCTCTTGTCAACCCACCCAGAGGTTGCGGACAAGGTTTATGAGGAACTTCGTCATCTTGAGGAAGAAACGACGATCGATGAGAGCTGGACCCTAAACCAAAGAATTATACAACAGGCATCACTTCTTACGTATGACGCTCTCTCCAAGCTGAATTACCTTCACGCTGCCATTACAGAGACCGTCCGCCTTTATCCGGCTGTGCCTCAGGTACACAGCACTCACTCAATCCACATGAATGCCTGACGGTTACAAAAATGGCACAAACTCTTCGGCGCAGTAGATGGTTGCACCCTTGGATTCTAACAATAATAGACTAGTTTGGATTTTGTGAATACGTGATGGAACATTCGCACAGGAAGTTGATGTGAAGGTGAATCTAACGAGGCATTTATTCGTTTAATGAGATGCTTTCATGGGAGGCTTTCACTACTTTCAAGGTGAAAGTTCACGTCCAAAGCGAGTTCCAAGTGCTTAAACATGCAGGACATCATCCGTTGGTTATTTGAAATCCAAGGAATTTTTGGTCACTGCCCACGTGTTGACGCTTTCTATGCCTTGGGATTAATGTATTGTGTCCAGAACCCGAAAGGAATATTGGAAGACGATATTCTTCCAGATGGGACACTGGTGAAGAAAGGAGGGCTTGTAACATACGTACCTTACGCTCAGGGCCGCATGAAGGAGCTCTGGGGCAAGGATGCTGATGAGTTTCGGCCTGAAAGATGGCTCAAAGATGGCATCTTCATCCCTGCTTCTCCATCGAAATTCCCTGCTTTCCAGGTTGGTTTTTGATCCCATTTGGCCTCATCGTGTGGTACCCCAAGTAAAACAATTAGATTTGCTGCTTGTAAGACTTCCTTCTGGTCTCTGACAGCTTTATCAACCAATTTTGATAAATAACATTTCATTCGTTATCAGGCTGGACCCCGGATCTGCCTTGGGAAGGACTCGGCATACTTGCAAATGAAGATGGCTATGGCAGTGCTGTGCCGATTTTTTAAGTTCAAGTTGATGCCAGGTCACGTTGTGAAGTATCGAATGATGGCCACTCTTTCAATGCAAAAAGGGGTACGGGTGTACGTGAGTGGGCGTGATGTATAAATAACGAGGTTTCTATTCGCATTACCCTCACCTTGGATATTCTAATTACTGTTACATTCGATAGCATAGCTAGACAATTTCTCATTCGCCAAAACCGTAGGATTAGTTTAAATGTAAATTAGTACTGGAATAAGATGCCGTCCCGAATAATAAGTATTCTTTGCATTGAGAATTTCAATTCGCGTATTCTTCTTTTTTTGTTGGACGTTGCATTTAGATATTGCCTACTAACCCTATCACAAAAAGAATTGACAAGCTAAATAAATCAGTTACTGGTCGAAAACTTCCGCTTATACTTTAAAACGAAATATGACAGTAATACGGTGGGTTTTAGAACACTTAACATGAAATGTTGATTAAATGCCAGCACAGCACAGGTACAATCTGTAACTCGCTTTAAGGGTTAATAAAAGGTAAAGCAGAGAATCACACGCTTTATGATAAGTGTGCGAAGTAGTATACCAAGATGTATCAGCACATTTCGGTAGGATTTGTCAAATAAAAATACCAAAAACATATTCTTACTACTTCCGATTGGATACAGTGGACGTTACAAAACAGAGCACCATACTAAGTTTCTAATTAATAATTAACTATAAACAGCTCATTAGCCTTTCTAAATATACAGCAACACGAAGCATAATATCATCACATAGACGATCATCAGTAACATGACACGTACACAAATACAGTTCACAACTGAATAAATTCGAACAATTCCTTAAGACGGCTGTCGTACCTCAACTTCAGTTGTAAACTCAGCCCATGTATAACAATACTTGAAAAGTGGATACGGCACCATAGAGTCCTTACCCAAAGTTATATTTGCAAATATAAACACGTTGTCAGATGTAGTTCCTATCTCCAAAGAAGCATCCACCAATCGAGAGAAGATACCATTGGTTCATTAGCAACAGTAATGGGTTTAATCCAACACACACGTGACACAGAATACTAGTCCATCAAAGGGGTTAAAAGCTATAGACAATAGTAACCTATCTTTATCAACGTCCTGACCTAGGTCTCGTGACATCACAGGGCAAAAACCACTCCACCAACTCCAGTCTTTCCAGTGAACCCTCCACTGATTCAGAAAACTACCAATAAACCGAAACCCACCCTACCGCACAAAAAGCCGACCGTCTCTGCATATACTAGCACCACTACCAGCAAACCAGAGCGAAAGACAGATATCGAATGACATGCACAACAAAGAAATGCATCAAAATACCTCCATGGGAAAAGAGCTGAGGTTGGTTCAATGTGGACAAGGTCACAGACAAATCCAATTGAAAACAGCTAAAGACGACAAAACATGGCAACCTCTTTCCTCAAAAGGCTCGTAAAAGATGCTGAGAAATAGTATCCCATTAGGCAGAGAAAAGGACTCTTAGGTACACAAAAAATAGTATATCCTCACAAATGCTGAACAATACACCGATATCCGCCATTTGATTCACAAAACCAAAATAGAAACTAACTAAATTGTCAAAAGTACAAAACAAATTCAGGCAGTACACGAGCAAGAATAGAGGAGCTGATGATAAAAAGACCAAAAATGAACTTATCCAGGTTCAACCAAGGATGCTGAACCCAATCTCGAAACCTGAACCAAAACAATTAAGTAATAAATAAATAAATAAAAGTCAACAGCCCTTATAGCCCAAACAACACAACAGACTGCACGGAAATAATGAAGGACTCACAATGGCCAAACATCGTCCAACCAAACCAATCATATGACAACACGACTAGTACACAGCTGCACAATTGTCTGCAAGCCAAAATGTACTTCTCAAATAAATAAGAGGATAGCACCACCTCGGCCCTAAATCTGCTCAGAATCTACCGATTACCGTATCTCTGGTGATGATGCATACCTTAACCCTGTAGCCTGTGCTACTTTTACTAAACAACAAGAGTTCTGAAAAAATCGAGTGTTATCAGACAACACTGAGATTTCTATCAAACTACGAAAATACAACGATTCCCTTTTTGACAAAAGAAAAAAAAGGCAATAAAAACAGAAAACAGAAAGAAAAGAAAAGGACAGACCAGGTCGTGTTAAATGCTGCTGCAGCTAAATTTAGTGCTCTGTCCTCTCCTACCAATTCGTCCTACACCACAACTACTGACAGTCCACTCCATTGCCAACCAACCCCACATTTGGCTCAACGCCGCCTGTGCTCCATCTTTTCGGATGATCGTAATGCAGCCAAAATCCTGCCTCCCTTACATGACATCTAGGTCGATACACCTGCACATGTGAACCAACCACACCATCAGAACCGCACCAAGACATCCACACTACATCCAGCCTGACCGAACCGCCACCACTACCACCTCCGATTCACCACTCCCCACGCATCACATGCGATTCCGAACACGCAACACTCCACACAAACGCCTACCACGACCCCATGCTCTACCGAACTCCCTCGCCACTGCATACACCACATTACACTCCTTCCATCTTCCACACCTCGCTGCACCTTCCCACCCGATCTCTCCTAACGCACGCTACACGCAACGTTTCAACATACGATGCACTCTGCCACTATCTAAGCTACATGTGCAACTCAATCCGGTCTCAACACGTCCTCGGTCCCAAGCGCGCACCAACTTCGCTCGCATTCAACTCAAAACGTTCAATCCTCTGTCCCAAACTTACATTCTAATCTCAACGTGCGTACAAGCATGCCTGTCCACGCCACACATAGCCAACTAGGACTAGTTTCATAAGCGAAGGACCTTATCAACATATGCTGCCTAAGCCTCGTACGCAACCAAATGCAGTGACTAGCCAGTGCGGTCACCAGCGGCAGGGTAGGGCCTGAATCTGGCATCAGGACCTCGCTGTGTCTGTCTGCCTGCCACACCGTATCCTCCCCCGTAGCCTGACGCTCCGTTCACTGCTCCGTCCGCGCTAGCGCCTCCGCCCACGCCGAATCCACCTCCCGTCCCTCCTCCCACGGACCCCGTGCCTCCCGAACTGTATGGATCTGTCCCCGACGACCTCCACGTGTTGTCGGCGTATCCCGAATATGCATCTCCGTAACCCCCACCGTAGCTCCCGCTTCCCGCCCCTGCACCCGCCGTCCCGTAACCTCCTGCGCTCGACCCGTACCCGCTACCTCGACCGCCATACCCACCCGTCGATCCGTAGCCTGCGTCGCTGCTTCCGTAACCATACCCCGCACTTCCGTAACCCGAACTCACTGCGGCCCCTGCCCCCGTCCCCGTCGTCCCCCATCCTGCATTGCCGTACCCGCTCATGCTCCCCGTCCCGCTGCCCCCGTACCCAGTCGAGCCCGATCCCGTCCCGTACCCACCACCTCCGCTGCCCCACGCGCTTCTCCCCCCCGCGGGAGCGCTCCCATACCCTGCGCTGCCCACGCCTCCGCTGCCATACCCCGCAGCGCTGCCGTAACCTCCTGCGCCCGGAGCGTTCCCGTATCCTGCACTCCCGTAACCCCCCGCGCCACTCCCGTACCCACCGCTGCTGCCATACGCGCTGCCCCCGTAGCCCCCGTTCATCCCCGCGCCATATCCACCGCTGCTCCCGAATCCCGCACCTCCGTAACCTGCAGCCCCGTACCCCGGATACCCGCCTCGCCCACCTGGACTCGGCCCATACCGGCTGTCGCCGCGCCCGCCGTACCCACTCCCTCCTCCCGGACTCCCACCGCCGTACCCACTCCCTCCTCCTGGACTCCCACCGCCGTATCCTCCCTGGCTGTACCCCGATCCGTAGTTGCCCCCGCCGCGACCTCCTCCGCCGAATCCCGCGGCAGCTCGACCCGACCCTCCCGACAGCTCCTTCGGAATGGCCTTCTTCACCTCCACCATCTTCTCGTTGAGCTCGTGGAACGACTTTTGGATCACGTTCTCAACTGCATCCTCAGAATCAAAAGTGATGAAGCCAAAGCCCCGAGGCCTTTGAGTATTGTGGTCATACATAACAACCACATCTGTAATAGTACCAAACTGCTCGAAATACTTTTTGAAGTCATCTTCTGTAACTGTTGAGGCTAAGCCCCCCACAAATATCTTCTTTGTCCTAGTGTGGGATGTTGCTGGCCCTAGGCCACCCACGCTGTTGCTCCTAGGCATATTCTGCTGTTCGTCTCTCGGCACAGCTTTTTTCGCTTCCACCTAGAATAGCAAAAGATTTAAGAAAGACATGCTACACAAGTTATACAACTGCCACACATCGCCATGCCACCAACACCATCACGCACCCCAAGCTCTCTTTCACTCTTCCGCATCCCCTTCCCCACCTCACATACACCTCTCTTCACCTCGGTCCCTTCGTCGCAACGCTCCCCTATGCGCCTCACGCTCCCCTACGCGCCTCACGCTCTAACCTCACCATACTTCACTAAAGGCCCGGGGATCCAAGGCAGAGCGCTTACCGTTCTTCCGTCGATAGTGTGCTTCTCGCCCGCCACCCGATCGGCCACGCTCGGGTCGGCGAAGATCACAAACCCGAAGCCCCGCGCGCGCCCCGTCGCGCGGTCCTTCATGATCACGGTCTCGACCACCTCGCCATAGCTCTTAAAATAATCGCGCAGCTTCTCCTCCGTGGTCTCCCACGATATGCCACCGATGAAGAGCTTGCCCTGATCGGAGTCCATGACCAGCAGCCCGTCCTGATCCGCCAGATTACCCGCCCTACCTACCTTAGAGACCACCACCTGACACCCGACCAAACCCAAAACGAGCCTTGCGAATGCAAAGATCTAAGATACAATGCGGGCGAGCGCAGCGAAAGTGTCAGCGGCTACGATCCCCATGCAACGCGCGAACCAAGAGGCCGCGGTAACGCGAGTGAGGGAGAGAGCGCGCGAACCTAGGGTTAAGAAAGGAAGCAGACGAAAGAAGGCCCGGTGGCAAAAGGGGGAGAGAACTGAAAGAGGAGAGGCAGTGATAGAGGGGCGAGTGAGTCCCTGGCTGGCTGGCGGAGGGGAGGGAGAGTGGGGTGGGGGGAGTGGGGAACGCGACCCTCTTCGACGGGCTGGGGCGGGAACTGACAAGAACAACAAGAGGGGGGCATCATCGCGTGGCCTTGGATGCCTTCCCCCCTTCCTTCCTTCCTTCCTTCCTTCCTTGGCCCTGTCTGTTCTGTTCACGATAATACGACGAATGGAGGACTCACTCGCCCCGTCTGCCCGTGGGCGGGACGGGAGGGGGTTGAGGGGCTGGATGGTGGTGGTGGTGGCAGAACGCCCCTTTGCCCCCTACGTCCCCCACTGGCCCTGCTGCGCTGTGCTGGGCGGGGCTGCCGTGCGCTTCTTCCTCGCCCTTGGTCGCGTGCCATCCATCCCGGCCCGCGCACGGCCCGCTATCAATGATGGGCCCGCTCTCGCTCGGTCTCTCCTTCTGTGTCTGTCTCTCTGTTTCTCTTCCTCTCGCTGTGCGTGCATGAGTTGGTTGCCCTCAGCTTCTGTTTCTGGCCTGGCTCAACGCCACGCCACGTCTTTTGACGGATTCTATTGCCTTGCAATTACTCCGCCGGATCTGTCCAGGCACTGGGAACCCGACACCAAGTTGCTCCAAGTCGGATGATGATTCAGGACCCCTCATGGCCCCGGACCCACCCCCCCCCCTCCCCAACTTCCCCTCCCGTCCTCTGTTAATCCACCCAACTAACATTCTCTTGCATTGGTTGGTTTTTAAACGACTCTCCTTGTGTTGCTTCTCTATTGGGCATACATTTTGCATTCTCTAGTTACACATTCTCTTATGTTTGTTCACTTAAGACCTCCTCAATTACACTGTCATTTTGTTTTGTTGTTCTAGTATCCAAACTTCAGTGCATATATTGTGGTTGCACATTGCAACATGTTTTGGTTGTTGACATTCTATAGATATACATAGTATAATTTTCTTTACCATCAATTTATGCTAAATACAAGAGAAAATATCGTATTTTATATATACCCCTTGAAACATCAAGAATATATATTGATGATTCCATCAAAAATGGAATCCATGAAAATTGTTGTGCCTTTATTATATAGGTGATACCTTCTCATTTATGAAAGTATATTTGCTATTATTAAGAATGCATGAGTATTCTTGATGTTTCAACATATTCAAGGGGTTAAATATTCCTAAAATAGCATTCTAGTGCTTGACTCAAGTGCATGTATAAGGACAAAACCTCTAAAAAAATCTCAAATTTTGACTACATATTCAGTTGCACAACTAAATTCCTTGAAACTAATTCAAAACATGTTATTGGATTTTGATTGGTTGTTGGTTGCTACCTTGAGACCTCACAAGTGGTTATCTTATTAAGCTCTTGAGTAAGCAAAGCCTAGCAGCCAAACAATTAAAGAGACCACACACTATGTTAAATGAAGGCAATGAGGACTAAAAATCCACCTTGAGGCTCAAAATTTAAGATGCACCATCCCACCTAGGCCACAACAAAAATCTCCACCATCCTTCCCCAAAGTTCTTTTCCTACTTAAGGCATTTTTTATAAATGAAGAATAAACAAAGAGCTCTAGCTTGTACATATGAATAGTGAAGCACTACTTGAAGCCTGTAATTTTGAATTATATGAAAAAATGTTTGTTCTTCCAATTATGCAAAATAAAATAAAATAAAATTAAAACAAATCAAATAAATGATCATATATATATATATATATATATATATATGAAACAAAATATTTCTTAAATCTCTTTCTCAAGTCTCTCACAATGTCTTTAAAGCAATGTAATTCAAATCTTTACTATAATTTCAACAACAGTATATATATATATATATATATATATTAGCCCAATTCATTAACATCCATCTTGTCATTGAAGTTAATCTTTTTAAGTAGTAGGTGGCAAGATTTCATTTTAAATTAAATGGCCCATAAGTATCATTAAAGCACACTATTTAGGTCCAAAATGAAGACAAAAGTAGCAATGAAATCCATGAGAATTAAAGTACTTTTATTAAATTTGTGATATCTTATCATATTTGAAAATATATTTTCTATTATTAAAAATATCAAGGCCACATTTGCTATCATTAAGAATAAAAGAATATTAGTAGAATTTCAACATATTTAAGGAATATTTATGATATTTTTTCTAAACACAATGATAAATTTAATATGCTTGTATATATCAGTTGCTACTTTTTTAATAACTACTATGTAATAGAATTTTTTAAAAGACTAATATCTTAATTTTGTTAAAATAATATTAAATAAATAATTAATATTCTTATATTTATAATAACAAAAATAACATGAATAAGATGTTGTTTTGGATTGCAAAGCTTGTCATATATTACAAGTGATATCATGCATAATGGTGAAATATATAATTGTATAAGCAATTAGTTTAATTAGATATGACTTTAAAATTATAATAATTAAAGGATCACTTAATAATATTTCTAATATTTTATTTTAAAAAATGAAGTTTAAATTTATAATTAAAAAATTTATACACTTTTCTTCTTAAAATATTTATTTGTATTTTTGTAGAACCAAATATTATAATAAAAATTATTGGATAAAACCAAGGTATTACATGATATAGCATTGGATACCAAATCACATTAGATGTATGTTGATTAATTTAGATTTAGTATTTTTTCCATCCATTTAGTTTTTTCTATTAGTTGACTTTATTAATGTCAAGTAAGGTCTCAATACTTAGGTAGAAAAATCCCCTTGATTTGACATTCTTGTTAAATCAAATCTTGTAATTGGTTTTTGAAAGAGAGAGAGAGAGAGAGAGAGAGAGAAAAAAAAAAGAGAGAGAGAGATGAAACTTGCTACAAGGATTTACTTGGCTATGGTGATTTAGCCATTTATTAAAGCTTTAGGATTTTTTTCTACTTATACTTGTATTCTTGGATTCTCGCTTTGTGATGTGAGAGATAGTTTAACTCTTTAGTATTTAGATTAAATATCTTTTATTGAAAGTATGTTGATTAAGTATTTGTATTTGGTTTAGATTACATACTATATAATTAATTTGTAGCACTCAATGTATTGTATATAACAATTTTTGTTTATCCAACAAAGGACAAAAAAAGTACAAATCATAATCAAACTCTAATAAATTGATTATATGCAAATAGTAAATAATTGAATATAAAAATCAAATGTATCATATAAATAATATTTATGATTATTTTTTTATTTTTTATTACATGTAACATGATATGAGATTAATTTTCAAATTTATTATATTATAGGTACTAAAATATTGTTTAAAATCTTGCATGATATTTTCTTAAAAAACCATGTGATAATTCAAAGTAATTTTATAAAATATATTTTAATTTATTCATTATTTATATAAATATATCATTAATTTATAAATAAAAAATACAAGAATAAAAGTTAAAATTATAATTTTATTTTAGTTAAAATTAGATTTTTTTAAGCAATAATTTACTCATAAATATATAAAATATATAATGTATACTATTATTTGCTTGAATATCTCAAAGATTCTTGATAAAATCAACTTGATTTTGTTGCATTATCCAAACAAAAGCATAAATACCCTCAATGATATCTTTACCTTAAGCCATATTGAAGTAAACACAATTCTTTTACATCTTATTTCTTGAAAATTACTTCTAATTTATTGAAAAATAATTAAGAAATCTATAAGGATCCTTCTAAAACTGTAGAATTTCATATCCATCCTTAATAATACATGTGAGTATGTATACACATATACACATACACACACAGATATATATATATATATATATATATACACACACAACTACACTAACATTGACTTATAAGTTTTTTTACAACTCTATTGCAATTCTCTTTCATTTTTTCTTAATTATTATTATTATTATTTTTATTATTTTTAGTTTTTGAAACTGTAATTACACTCACTAGCAAGTGATCTTAGAATTTCTTGACAAGATTTTAGCAGACTCAACGACTTTGAAGATAGTCCAAATAATCCTCTCACACTTTGAAATTTGTAAAGATTATTGGTGGTATGTACCAATACAAATTGTATTCTAAGCCTTATTTGAAAATGCTTCTATGATATCTTAAGGATAAAGAAGTGAAAAAATCATTTTTTATGTGAATTAAATGAAAAAAATTAAAAAATTAAAAATCTTGGTCATTTATATATTAAAAGTATATTGATTGAATGTGCATTTATCTAATTTAAGTGTTATAAGAAATTTTCTTCTTAACATTAGTGATGAATAGGAATATTATTGCTTATGTTGGTACTTCCTTTAATGATTCTTAGAAAGTTGGTTTTATTTGCAAATAATAAATTCTTTCAGACTTTAAAAATAGGATTGTACATTGCATTTTTTTCACTATTTATTATCAATATTTTACAAGTTTTGATAACATTTTGAAAATGATTTTGTCTTAATATGATCAAAAATATTAAAAATAAATTTAAATCAATGTATGTTGTTTTTATAAGCATAATTAATATATTTGGTTGTTATGTAAATACAAATATTATGCAATGTAATTTTCTTATAACAACATTCTTTGAAGTTACTTTTATAGTACAAAACTATAAGTTTTGTACTATAAAAGTAACTTCAAAGAATGTTATTAAAAGAAAATTAGGTCATTTAAAATTATATATAATTAGAAATATAAATAGTTAATTTAATTGTGGTTGTATGTGCAATTGTATCAAATCACCTATTATATCCAAATGTTACTACTAGACATGAATAATATGTTATTAAAATTAAATTATCTCAATTAAAAAAATTATGAATTCTCTCAAGTTTTAAATGTTAATAAAATATAGTTAAAAAAAATTATGCAAAAATTTGACCATTTAAATAAAATATGAAATTCATAATCATAATTTTTTTAAAAGGTAATATGTGATAGTAAAAATATTTTATAATTAAAATAAGTGTTAATTTTATCATTGATTAATTTTTCTCTTTTTCTACCTACATACATATTAATATAATATTTATATATGATAGTAAGTATTTAAGTCTTTTTTATAATATAAATTATTTATATTTAAATATATATA